TTTCTAAGGGATAAAACTTATTTGGGCTTACTCCCACTAATCTGTTTCATCTCTGTATTCTACCAGTACCAGACTGATGTGTTTAAATTTGCCGTTTACACAACATTTGATGACTAGAGTTCATGTATTTCGGCTGAATCTATCTCTTCCCATTAGAAATCATAATCCTACTGTAATTAAAATGTGATAATCAATACATTTATGTTATTGTCTTTATTCTATAACCAGTCCATAGTCAACATCTCTCTTTGACATTATCTAATATTACATATATAACCTTCAAAATCTACATGGAGTCAGGTATGAAGTTGCTTAGATTTAAAAATTTCAGTTTTCAGTATATCCTTGAAGAAAAATATGATTGGTACTTCAAGAAATGAGAAGTGGCATCTACATATTTTTTTTTACTAATTAAGAGTGTCAACGATGTTCCCTGCTAATATTATGTCAGCGCGAGTCTTTGAAAGAAATTGTCAATGACTTATTCTGACAATTGGTTGTAATGACATGGGCTAAAGTTTTTACATCTGCAGGTCAAAGATCTTGAAATTGAACTGAGATCTACAAAGCAGAGTGGCAAAGAAAATCTGGAGCAGGCTATTCTAATTGAAAGGGAAAGATTTACTAAAATGCAGTGGGATACGGAGGAACTCAGAAGAAAGTGTTTGGAGATAGAGTTGAAGTTGAAAGCTGAGCAGGTTTGAATTTGTCTTGTGATTTTTGTCTAATTCTTCTTTATATAAAAGTTATCATATATAAAAAAATACTCAGGACGAAAAAACTCATCTTGAATCAACAAGAACTTCAATCATTCAAGAGAATGAAGCATTGCGGCAAGAGTTAGATATTACCAAAGAGAAGCTTGATAGCTTGCTGAAGCATCATGAAGAGTCCGACTTGAAATCAAAAGCAGATGTTAAACTTCTTGTCAGGGAGGTTAAATCACTTCGAAGTTTTCACTTGGAATTGAAGCAGGAGGTTGGCAGATTGGCCAAAGAGAAAACTGAATTTGAGGTACATTCTATTTTGTCATTATTGAATACTTGGCACTCGGGGGTAAATTAATGGAGATTGGTTCCAGGACCATCCTAATTCTAAAGATTGGTTCTAGGACCATCCTAATTCTGTGCTTTGTAGATTAAGAAAATAGGAAAATAATTTACGAATGAAAAACATTGAGGAAATATTACATGCTGATGATATTACAACTCATTTAGTTAAGCATTGGTTTGAAACTGTTAATGGTTTGAATAAACGTAGCTTTCCATCATATATTTATCTATCTAGACTGTAAAATAAATTGTTGCCTGGCTATTCAGTTATAATATGGTTTGCTTGTTGTCTAGATATTTCTCTGATTTTCAGTCGACCTCTTTCTGTTTTGATATTATAGTGCTTTCGATGCTGTGTCATAAAATAGTAGATCTTTCTCTGCTTCTGCTTCATTGTAGAGGACACTACAGGAGGAAAGGCAAAAATGGGAATATACAGATACTGCCAATGCAAAATTGCTGTGTGAATGTGACATCCTTCGCAGTCGGCTTGAAGAATGCAATCCGAATTTTCTCGCTGAGGAGGAAAATAAACTGAAAATGGATACTTCGTGTAAATCTGAGGCTGCCAATCTGTTGGCTACATCAGATAATCGTATTGGTCTTCTTCTTGCAGAGGTAATTCTTATGACTAACTTTACTGTCATCACCTGTTGGCATCAAGTTGTCTATTTCTATTACTTCATTACATGTGAAATCTCGTGGTAGTTATAAAAATTCTGTTTCAACGTGTAAAGAGCTAACAGGAGCTAACAGGTTTCCATTCTATGTAAATGCTGTTTTGCGTTACATGCCTACTCCATTGATGCCTGATGCTAACAAGTAATGAAATTTTGTAGAATATACTTGATCATTTTAGTAATTTACGATCTCGTTTTTATGTTTCACAAGAACACACATGGCGAACTAACATATTTCATCCGATTCCATTGACAACTGTGGAACACAAACGCCACTTGACCTCCATCATTGTAGCATGAGACACCAGGTGCTTAATGGAAGACGAAAATTGTGACTTTATGTTATTGAAGCAGACCATTTGAAAATTTCAAACCACTTAAAGGTGTACTGTGCATATTATGTATCGGATTCATTGATGGTTCATTAGTCAAGCCACAGTATTTATGCGGCTTGTCAATCTTGCATTGTACTCTGTATTTCAATTCTTGATTTACCCAATACCCTTTCATTGGCTGCCATTGAGACCTTGTAAGTTTTGCTGATTTAACTTTTATAACTATTCACGGCATTGAACAGGCACAGCTTCTTGCACAAGATAATTCTGGCACCATCGCAAGTCCAGATGGTGGCAATAAGAGGACAAGAGATGCTGAATTGAGGAAGATGTTGACAGACGTTTTAGTTGACAATGCGAAATTGAGGAAACAGGTTAACGCTATAACTCTTGGCACTCTCAAGACGACAGACGGGCCTCCAGACAGCTCTGAAGCCCCTTCAAGAAAAACTGTTCTTGGCAAGTTCTTGTAATGTAAAAACAGAATGCAGTATTTCTTTTTAGAAACTGTGTATGTGGACCTTTTACTGCCAGATGATAAAAAAAGCATATGAAATTCTATTTGTATAGCTCTATGATCGAATTGTCTCTGTATTAAAATGACTTGTTTTGGCAACTTAATTTATTTTTAATATGATCTACATGTTTCTGAATCATACGGGTTGCAATAATTGAAAACAGTTATCTAAGTCAAGTTGAACTTCAGGTGTCGACAAATCAGACTGTGCTTGACTGAGTAAAATATAGAAGCGAACTTTTAGTTTATCTATAGAGCAATGACGATTCTGGTTCGAATCATGCTACACAAACATGATTGACATAATCTTTTAACATAATGTATATTGCAACATATCATTGGACTGTTTAAAATACAGTCAAATTTTTTTATCAAATCACATCATTTCAACACATATTGTGTCATTCTCTCTATCATACATTTTCTGGCACACAATTATTATTCTAATGGTTTTGGGTGTGCAAGTGTTCGCTTGCATTTATTGTGAGTAAAACTATTTAACATTGCTGGTGTTTAACACCCGTCTAGGTGAAAGTATTAATGATATTAAATTACATGTTCAATTAAATACAAAGAGTTATGACTCATTTAATAGAACTTATGACATGTTAACACCTAGACTGGCATTCAACATCGAGGAAATGATGGCCAATGACTGGTTGACTCAATCCAATTTCGACAATAGCCTTTTAACCAGATTTTATTTTAAAAACTAACAAAATCCCCCCAAAAAAAGAGTTAAAAAAATTAAGCTGACGAAATCGACTTCAACACTATTCACCATCATCATCTTCATCATTTTCAACACATTTAATCAATGTTAGTTCTTTTTTTTGTTTAAATTTTATGATTTTACGTATGGGTAAATATTCTTAGATTTTTAAGTTCAATCTCGATAAAATTTATGAATTTGTTCATGGCTTGAAGTACATATATCGTTAGAATCGAGGTTAGAGATGATTTTGGTGTTTTTTTTGGGGTGGACCTTCATCACCCACATAGTCGTCTGGAAAACTAGATAGCCATGTGTCTGGGCCAGACGGCCCAAATGGTGGTTCGGGTGTCTAGACCGTTTTAAGGGTATCTTCATCTTTTACATTTTGTAAAAGGCCATTGTGGTGAATATAAAATAAGTTAGGCTTATGTGGTGTATGGTAACTTTGACATGGCCATTTAAAAAACGTGGCCCCACAACATCACTGATGTTGGATAGTATTATTCTTTATGGATCTAAAACCTCGAGCTCTGACACAAGGTTGAAGGTTGACCTAGATAACTTGAGGTGGCTCGTTTAGTGTCTTGGGAATTTCCTTACTCATGCACAGCGAAAATAAAACAATTTTCAATACCCAAACAAGGATCTGCAAAGTGTATAGCTAGAAACTGTGAT